AATAATAATAATAATACAATTACAGTGAGTTCATTAAACTAGTAAAGCCGGTCTAATATTTTTGGCAATATATCTGTACGATCTTTATTATCAACAGTGTCACACAGCAGGTATCTCATGCGTACGTTCGAATATTTGCGAATTTCAGTTTTTACTCAGCTCTTATATCAATTAGACGTGCCGTTGACTGCTCAGGAATAAAGATAATTTATCATATAACGTAGCATCGATTTATTTTCATTGGCCTAATCATATCAGAACAACATTTCTAATTTAAGGAAATAACATTGGTCCTTCGAGCCGGATACACAAGTTGCGTGCTCCGAAAAAAATTAGAGCATAAAATATTTGCTTCATTTCATTGGCAGTTCCTACAACAGGAGCAGTTAGACCAGTTAGGTAATATCGAGAGCCTAATTTAATTAATTGCAAACATTAAGGAACCAAAATAATTTTATCTTCTTCGTAAGAACGATAAATTATAATATCTGGAGGCTAGACGGAGATGGAATTCGGTGTATACGTGACAATTTCTTGCGAAGGAATTTCGTACAATACACACAAGGACAAAATGTAGATAGCAGTGGTCTATAAAAAGTCGACGTGAGAGTTTGGTCGGGTAAGTGATTAGATTCCTGAATTCCTAACTTATTATTCCAAACTTATAATTTTACCTTATCATTTTTTTGCTTCATTTAGTTGATCCATTATTCAGTTTTAAATGTTGATAATACTACGATTATAAAGTGCGGAAATGGATTTACACGAGCTCGACGAGCACAAATAAAAACAAAATCAACACGATTGGAATCTTATCTTACAAATTCTGATCAACCAGACAAGAATGAATTATCATTGTATTTAGAGAAATATGAGCTGATATTCCGTGATTTTGATGTAACAGATAGAGCTTGTGCAGCCTTCGAACAAACACGAAGCCGAGCGCGACGCGTTCGAGAGTATAGTCAATATTTCTATCTGGTTTCCAAAATAAAACGTTTGATCGAGGATGATGGGATCATTCGAGTGGGTGACGCATCACCTTCTGAATTGCCCGCAACTGTGACGGCAACTCAAGTAAAGTTGCTGGTCATTGATATTCCGAAGTTTTCCGGAGATTATACTGAATAGCTGCCGTTCTACGATGCGTTCTCTTTGTTGATCCATCATAATTGCGTTTTAAATAACATACAAAAATTTCAATATTTACGTTCTGTTTTGGGAAGCGTCCCGTTTGCAATTGGACACAGCCACTTACAGCGACTGATGCCTGGAGATTTTCTACTAAATCAACCAATCAAATAATTTTATTTTAAATTGACCAATCGGCAATCGGGCGCCACCCTCTGCTTTGACAGGAAGTGCATTAAAGACTGTTGAATTTATCACTGTTTCAACAGGTAATTATGATCTTGCTTGGTCAACAATTGAAGAACGTTTTAAAAACTCTCGAATGTTAATTCAGAGTCAAGTAAATATTTTGTTAAATCTTCTTACTGTGATCGGTAATTCATATGATTCACTGAGATCATTGCTTGATAATTTTAATAGTAGTTTTGAATCATTAAAAAGACTAAATGGTCGATTCTTGGGATACTATACTGGTGCCGATTATTCTTTCTAAGGTTAATTTTACTACCAGACGCGAATGGGAAAATTCCTTAAGATCTAACGAAATGCCGGAACATTCAAAATTTACGAGAATTTTTGAAGTATCGATCTTTAGAAAATCTATAAACGCATAAGTGAAAAAAAGCACACTAATGCTAATGGAAGACCGCAAGCATTATGCAGATCAAATATAAAATCAATAAATGTTGCATTAAACGCACAATCTTATTTTGTATGTAAAGACATGCATTCTATTTATACATGTCCTATATTGCTAACATTATTGCAAGGAAAAAAGCGTTTCGAACAAAGTAAAGTATTAAAATTATGTACAAATTGTCTGCGAGAGAATCATAAAGCCAGTCAATGTCGTAGCGGTTCATGTAAATATTATAAAAAACGGCATCATACCTTTCTTCATTATTCGATAGAGGATAATAATACGACTGATGTCACTGAAGTTCCTTCAACCGTTGCCTTTAGCTCAAATTATGGTTTTAGTGATAGCGGTTGGTGATTGCAGGAGCATCGATCAATATGAGACGAAGTATTACGTTATCGGTTTCTTTATTAAAAATCTCGGATTACAATATTCTCGCGACACGTCTTGACTCCGCAAAATCTCGAGATCGAATCCCCGTCTTTTCTTTGTCAAATCGATTGTCCGGGTCACATATTTATTCGAGATGTTTCTTTTATTGTCAACATATTTTTCGTCCTGTCATTATTTTCGCTTCCGTTACAATTTGAATATTTCATTTTAATAACGACTAGTGATTAAATTCCACGACTGTAAGTAATTGATTACTCTCTCTAAATTTATATGACAATTATACGGATGCACGCAATTATTCGCATTGCTCAAAACAATTAAACGGCATCTCCGATTCGAGAAAAAACAAAAGTCCGATCGTTATATTTGTCGCTCGATTCCAAATATCTAACGATTCCGAGTAACTCGGCTATGTGTGTGTGTATACGTGTGTCTTTCTAAATACGCGTGTTTGATTTTATCAGATGTAATAAACATATCGCCACATGGTTATTAGCCGACAGTAAACAAGCACTCAGATCCTATTGTCTACATTCATAGTTTACATTTACGATCGAAATAATAAAGCTTCATGAATGTCGAGGACTTTTGGAGGTTGATTCACAATCTAATTTTATTTCGAAAAATATGGTTGACAAATTAACATTAAGATCGAATTCCACAAATATTAGTATATCGGATATTAATCAAACAGTCAATTCAATTACTCAAACGGTGGATATCCGTATCAAATCCAGATTCAATTCATTTTCTGCAAAAATTAATTGTTTGATATTGCCCAAATAAGAACAAAGGGTGTGCGTTATGGCGGGGACCACGAATCAGTCGTGAAAACTCGTAATTATTTTGCGAAAAAATACCACCTCAGCCAGGAATCGTACCTGGATCTCCTGCTTACCGAGCAGGTATCTTATCCTTTCGATTACCGAGGTATGATGATATTTATCGCAAATAACGTGTTTAGAATAACACGTCAACAATATAATGATACACATATATACATATTTTACAATATACATATATACATGCATTCTCTGAATCCCCACGACCGGTACTCCAGAGAGATGATGGTCCTAGTCTCTCGATGGATGCAGATCGAACTGCAGCGGCGACATCCTTCAACGCCATTGGCAAATATACAAATAATCCTCCTGGTGCGCAACAAGAAAGATTGCATCAAGCATAGCTCGAGTCCCTGAAACATGGCTCGAGCCTCCGAGCATGACTCGAGCCCCCGAGTATGACTCGAGCCCCCGAAGCATGGCTCGAGCCCCCGCAAAGTCTGCCAATTGCCACTTTGTCATCGTCTATCATACGAATATCCGACACTTTGAACTTGGCAGATCCATTTTTTTACATATCGAGACCGATTGACTTGTTATTGGGTGTGAAGCTCTTTTGGAGGCTCTTATGTGTAAATCAAATTCAAACTGGGCATAATAATGTTTTTCAAAAAACATTGTTGGGATGGGTAGCTGGAGGCGTTGTTGGTGACATTGATGGCGGTCACTCTGGTGTAAGTGCATACTGTCACATTTCTCTTAAAAAACACGATTTTGGGAGAGCGAAGATCTGGATTTAGTTAAACGATTACCGCACGATATTGAATGTGAACAGAATTTTCTAAGTACGATTACCAGGGATATTAGCGGCATATTTTGTGTGTAATTATCATTTAAATCAGGTATGGAATTAGGATTATCGGAACAACTGGCAATAAAACGCTTTCATGCATTAGAAAGAAGGTTGAGTCGAGATCCAGTTATTAAAAGAAAGTACATTGAGTTTATGCAGGAATACCTAGCGTTGGGACATATGGAACCTGTATCGCAAGCCGAAACCAATTGTAAAAACGAGTTTTACCACCCGCATCATTGTTGTGCGGGAAGATAGTCTGACAATAAAATTGTGGTATTCGATGGATCGATGAAAACCAATCAGTTTAAACAATGCGTTGCTCGCTGGTCCAGCCTTGCAGCAAGATTTGTTTGTTATATTATTCAGATTCAAGTGTCATCAATACGTTTTTTATGCAGATATTAAACAGATGTATAGACAAATTCAGTTGACTCCGGCATCATAGTTTTCATAAAATAGTTTGGAGAGAATCTCCGGAAATTTAAAATTTATTAATTAACTACGGTAACGGCATCAGCACCATATCTGGTCATTCGATGTTTGCAAGAGGTAGCAAAGATGAAGAGCGATATCCAAAAGCACAATTGGCAATATTGAATGACTTCTATGTGAATGATTTGCTTACGGGCGCTCATACTGTTGAGGAAGCATTGGCTCAGCAAATTCGAGAAATTCTTTCGGGAGCATTTCAATTGCATAAGGGCTTCAAACAATCCGTCGATAATATTATAATTGAATATAAGCGATGCAGCCGATTCTGATGTTAAGTTGGATAAAGATACACTAAATAAAAAGATATTAGGTACTTGGTGGAATCATACATCAGATACGCTTAAATATGTTAAATATGTTCAATTTGAACTATGAAAATAGTAGAATAACTAAAAGAACGATTTTGTCGATATAATAGCTCAAATTTTTGACTCGTTGAGCTTGATAGCGCCTGTGCTTGTCTTGGCAAAATTATCATGCAGAAATTATGGTCATTTAAGTTGGCATGGGATGAAACCATATCACAGGATATTCATAAGCAATGGATGCGTCTTGTTGAACAGATTTCGCTATTAAACAAATTAAAATTGTCAAGAAAGGTTGTTTTCCAACAGCAGAAAAGTGAATTGCACGTATTCTGCGATGCTTCTCAAGCGGCTTATGGAGCATGTATATACATAAAAGGCATTGATGAGCTTGGGAGACCAACAATGGAATTACTTTGTGCAAAATTGCGGTTGGCCCCGTTAAAACGTATATCTTTGCCACGTTTGGAATTGTGTGGTGCGCTGTTGGTGTCAAGATTATTATACAGGACATTGGATCAGGTTGGCATCGACGCAAGGGTGTATTGTTGGATTGATTTGACCGTAGTATTAGCATGGATTTCAAAGGCAGCTAACACGTGAAAAACATTTGTAAGCAAAGAGTTGCAGAAATCTTTAGCAAAAACTAGCGATTGGTATCATGTTGCAAGCCAGGATAATCCTGCCGATTTGATTTGGCGTGGTCTCCTATCTAACAAATTACTTGAATCAAGACCTTCTTTGGAAGTCCGAATTGGCCTTCTTTTAATGAATATCCGTGTAGAAAATTTGAAATAGTTGTTAACAAACCGACAGGAGCGAGGCGCGTTCGTTGTCGTTGACACCAAAGAAAGATTTGAATTATTGTATAAAATTTCAAATTATTGTAAGCTTCAACGAATTATGGCTTTTTGTTTGCGATTCATACAAAATTCGAGATACCCAGTAATAAAAACGGTAAACTAACAATTTTAGAGCTGCAACAGGCTACAGTTGAGATTGTGCGATTAGTGCAACGTGAGGAATTCCTTTCTGAAATAGAAAGGCTTTCAGAAAAGCGTACGGTAAATAAAAAAGTAAATTGATGTCGTTGAATCCATTCATTGATTCAGATGGCCTTATTCATGGGGGAAAGGCTGCGAAGGGCGGATCTTGCGTTTGATATTAAACATATGATAGTGCTACCAATAAAGCATTATATAATTGAACTTTTAGAATGTGAATATGTTCGACAGTTGCATGCGAGCGTGCAATTGACTTTGGCTTCGTTGAGATTAAGATTTTGGCCTTTGGACGGTAGAAGTGTTATTAAAAGGATTATTCGACAATGTATTAAATGTTTTAAAGCAAATCCAACATTTACGGAACAATTTATGAGTGACTTGCCATTGAATCGAACTAAGCCCGTTTTTGCGATGTGGCGTTGATTACAGACTAATTTTAATAAAGGAAGGTCTTGAGCGTGAAAAGCGTATCATAAAATTATATATTGTGCTATTTGTCTGTTTCGTGATGAGGACAATTCATATAGAATTAGTATATACACTGCCGAAACATTTCTGCACGCGCTAAAGCGGTTCATATCAAGACATGGAAAACCAAGTGATATATACTCGAATAATGGCACAAATTTTGTTGGTGCAAACAAAGAGTTAAAAGAAGTAATTTGTTACAGTCACAGTAATGAGCAGAAAAGAATGAGGCTTAGTTGTCCATTGATCAGATAAATTGGCACTTTATACCTCCGGGTGCACCTCATTTTGGAGGTATTTGGGAAACTGGGATAAAATCAACAAAATACGAAATTGAAACGAATAGTGACAAATGCGTTATTGACATATGAGGAAATGTATATTGTCTTGATCCAAATTGAAGCATGTTTAAATTCACGACTCATCATAGTACTTTCCAGTGATCCCAATGATCCTATTGCCTTAACATCGGGTCATTTCCTTGTTGGAAGTCCACTCTAAGCCTTGTCTGACTAAGATCTCTCAGAGGTAAATCGGCTTTCTCGATGGCAACGAAGCTATGGTTCAACATTTTTAGAAGAGATGGTCAGCGGAGTATTTGACAGTTACAGCAACGGACAAAGTGGAGGACTATAAAATTGCCTTCATCGCTGAATGGAACGATGCTAGCGCTGCTGCGAGATAAAAATTCTCCGCCATTATGCTGGAGAAAATACGGGCAAAAATTGTTGAGATCTAACCGAGCAAAGACAAATTGATATGAGTTTTAACCTTAAAAACAAAAAAATGGAACTATTAAAAGACCAATTCGAGAGTCAGTCTATTAAAGATGATGCCGATGTAATAACTAAAGAAGATTGTAATTAATTTGTTTGTTTGTAAATAGTTTAGAAAATTGTATTGACTCAGACGTAAATTTGAAATTATATCACAGTCAAAAGTAGGACAATGTATAATGGCATAACATAAAATCTCGTAGCTTGATTAATGTATGTAGCTTAATTAATGTATGTATGTATTTTTTCTTCTTCTTTTCTTGTATTTTTTTGTATTTCTATTTTTTTTCTTTCTTGAAACCTAATTTCAAATGGCGGGCAGTAAGTATGATTTTTATTATCCACAGTGTCACAGAGAGTATTTCATGCGTACGTTGAAATACTCGCGAATCTCAGTCTTAGCCCAATTCTTATATCAATTAGATGTGCGTTGACTGCTCAGGAATAAAGATAATTTATCATATAACGTGCATCGATTATTCTCATTGGCCTAATCATATCAAAACAACATTTCTAATTTAAGGAAATAACAATATCAAAATATATATGAGAAATTTTGACAATAAAAAATAAATTATGAATAAAAAATTATTACTTTTATTAATAGTAATTAATAGTAATTATTACTTTTATAGTAATAATCTATTTCTTAAATAGTAATCTATTTCTTATAGCGAATTCCATCCATTCACTGCATTACATCGGGTTAGTGCATACTAAATGCTGATATACATGAAATTATTGAAATGTAAAAATACATAAACACTTTAAAATGATTATATAAATAGTCAACAATGAATTTGTCATTATTTAGCCGAATAGGAATTAATAATAATTTTATTATTAAGGAAGTGATATTATACTACTAGATTTAGATATTTCATATGTAGCAATCTTTAATGTGCACTGATCTGGCATAGTGTATGAATGAATGGAATTCGCTATTATATAGCGTTGCAATGATAAGACGTTATGACACATTTAAAAATCTTTATCAGTAATAGGTTAATAGGCTATCGAATTAATTATTGCAGTTGGCGGCTCTATAATTAAAACTATCCATGTAGTAATATTTTATAAAGATAGTTGATAAAAGTATATTTTTTTGATGACGTTACATCTTTTTTAAAAATGTTGTATTTTTTATGATGAAATTAAAGGTTATTTTAATATGAATTCACATATGGAAAAGTTTTTTTCCGACATTTTCATAATAATTATAAACGCCTATATATGCATGCTATTTCGTCTGTACGTTCGATTCTTTATGCAACATATTTTCGCATTTTCTAAAGAAAACATAGAATAGAAAATATTAGAATAACAGGAAATGATAATAGAGACAAACATATTTCATAAACCGCGTATAATCACTGATGTGAAAACTGTTTACATAACATTTCAATAAAGTCATTAAGATTATAGTGTCAAGATAGAAAAAGAAAATATGAATGATTCAAGGCGCACGCTTAAAATGACATTATTATAGTTAATATTTAATGTATCGTTACATACGAGATATAAAAAAATATTTCAGATAAAAGTTGAATGATTACAAAAGTATTTTATAATAGTAATTTCAAAAAATTTACAAAAAATTTGTTTAAATAAATCCCCTATAATTTTATATTTTTTTAAAAATTTTGTATTTTTTTATAACGAAATTAAAAGTTATTTCAATATGAATTCACATATGAAAAAGTTTTTTTCCGACATAATTTCATAATAATTATAAGATTGTAGGGAAAGTTTCCGCGCATTTTTGATAATGTTTCTTTATTAAAATAAAATAAATGGTACAATGCATGTTAGTTAAAATATTTGCCATTGTTTTCTATCATCTTTGCCCACCTTTCAGGTAGCATATGAATGCTATATTGAAAGAATTCGTCATTGACGTCTTTTGACGTGATCCAATCATTCATCTATTTTCGCACATCGTTGGCATTGGAGAAGAGCTCACCAGACAACGCATGTTGCATCGATCTGAATAGATGGTAATCAGAAAGGGTAATGTGTGGTGAATAAGCTGAGTGCGGGAGGATTTCCCATTCCAACAGCGCTTCTTTGGATTTCCATAACAACAGTCTGATCATGGAGTGTTATGGGAGCGTCCCATTCGACCACGTTGCGAATGACTACAGCCATTCACAGCGGCCGGTGCCTAGAAGTTTTCATCTGTTCAAACGCTTTGAGTGGCTGGTCAATTGCAATGTGTCAAATGGACCCTACCCAGCCAGTTGTGATGGTAGGATGACTTTGCGTCGATTTGCGACTATTTGAGGACGTTTTTTGATCAGTTCTCGGTTCAATTGTCTTAGTTGCTTATTGCTTTGTAGCGATCTTCTGTGACTGTTCTCTGACCCGATGGTAACAGCTCATAGTAGATTACTTCCTCCTGATCCCACCAGAGGAGCTTATGGCCGTGAATATTGCATTGTGGCGTCGATGTGGTTGGTTGACCAGGGTTCATAATGGTTGCGTTCCGTTTCACGCATAACACGCATCGTTCGCATAATCAATGCTTAGTGCATTGGTTGCGTTTCGTTTCATTATGCGCATGATGTACATTTTGAAACGGAACGATGTTAACGCATTAGAAATGTGAAATCAAAATGGATTCTACAATAATAAACTGTGCTGTCGGTGTGACAATGTTTTTAATTAATGATGTTAATGAAAGTGACAGTAGTGAATCATCCATTTGGAGTTCTGATGATTATTATAGTAACGAAGAATATGAGAACAGTTTGAGCATCAGTGATTTAGAAATTTTATATTCGGTTTTAATGGTGAATGAAACTCGTGGAGAAACAATTTTTAAAGAAAAAATAACAGATTTTGTTGAAAGAGTCATCCCTGGATACACAAGGCGCGTATTCAAAGAACATTTTCGGTGAGAATGAATGTTTACATACATATTTTTTATTCAATCTGACTGATGTTTTAAAATATTTATAAATCGTTTGTACATAGTACTTATTTTCTATATTCAATTTTGTTTATCAATTTAAAGCAATGCCAAGAAATTATAGTAGTTTTATATCTTGCAGAATGTTTCCAGAAACATTTGAAGTAGTGTTACAATTAATTGGATCAGGACTAAGAGCCATAAATACATTGCCTGGAAGAAAACTTATTTCTACCGAAAAGCAACTTCTTATTGCAATTTGGTTCATGTCTACTCCTTCTATATTTCTTATAGGTATGATCTCATACATTAAAATATTATATTAATATAAATTTAAAGAAAGAAAACAAAAAATTATTAGTAAATTAATAATTAATAGTAAGTTAAATTAAGATCACTGTTTAATGTTTAAACATACATGATAGAAGATAGAAAAATTATTAATTATTTCATAATAATATTTTATTTATATTATTGTCTTCAGGTCTGTATCGACGAAATTTGGAATTGGAAAAGCAACTGCATTCAGAGCATTAAGACAAGTAACGTATGCTCTACATTGTATTGCTCCTCAGTTTATTCAGTGGCCCAAAGATGCAGTTGCCACAAAAATAATAAGGGAATTTGAACAAGTTTATGATTTTCCAAACGTGATAGGTATTATTGGAACTCATATTAAAATTCGTGCTCCAAAAGAAGATCCAGACTCGTACATAAATAGGAAAGGTTTTCATTCAATTAATGTACAAGTTGTCTGTGAGTCGCGTGGACTATTCACACATTGTTATGCTAGGCATGTAGGATCTGTGCATGATGCAAGAGTTTTTCGGAACTCACCAGTGGCAGATTTTCTTCAATTACCTCAAATATATTTTCCTAATAATTCTCATATTATTGGAGATGCTGCATATGGTATCCATCCACATGTTATGGTACCTTTTAGAGATAATGGTCATCTGACAAATGCGCAAAAAAATTTTAACTATTGTTTGTCATCTACGAGAATGGCAATTGAACGGGCAATAGGTCATCTGAAAGTTCATTTTAGGATTCTCTTAGACTGTTTACCTTTAACAGATGTTAGAAAAATTCCAGAATTTATTTTGGCTTGTTGTGTATTACATAACATTTGTATTTTGCAAAACGATATAATTGAACTGATGGGTATATATAGAAATGAAGACGAAATAATACCTGTTTTACATGATAATGCAGTTGAATTAGGAAATGCTAAAAGAAATGTAATTATGAATGCTTTACCAAGGAAAATATAACATTAAAATATATGTTATAACGACACCCGACTCATCCCCCTCAATTACTAACAATTTAATTTGAACAATGTTAACTGTCCCCGACCGATCAACCGTCGGGGCGCCGACACGGCGATCCTTCCGCGATCCCACCGTCGCGAAAAGCCCGTCGAACAGCGGACGCGGCAAACCGGTGATCACGCGGCTTCACGTGCGCGCCGCGTGAGACAATAGACACACGGTAAGGCCACCACCGCCGGCCCCGCTACCGACCGCGCCATCGAACATCCTCGCGGAATTCCCGAGCGCGTTCGGCGAATTATCGCGGGGATTCCGACATCCCCCGGAAACTACCCCGATTCGAGTCCGGCCGACCCGTTCCCGACGAAACCCGACCGATGGCCGGCTCGGGTATATTAAGCGAGTCCGGGAGATAAACGAGACCGATTCCCAGCGAGACAGTTACCAGTCCGACACTGCTCTCGATATTCCGAATCCTCTCCAGAAAAAGCGATCTAGGGTGCTACCTATCGTGTTAGGAGCTTCTGGCCGATCGCTCCTCTAATATCCACCAGCGCACAAGTACTCACAGGTTGAGGAGCTTCTCAACCTGGGCTCCACAAAGAAAGCCCTTGTGCACATATTCCTTTGACGATCGAGAAGCAGGGAGCTTCCTGCATTCGAGCCGTCATAAGCCTTACACACAGCTGATTCGTCATATCAACACTCGCAGCTGATCCGTCAAAACAAGACGGCCGAGATCCCCGCGCACCGTCGCGCCCGCGTCGCGCCTATCGAGGAACGCGACGAAATTCGGAGAACCGACCGCGAGCAAAACGATTGTATATAATACGTGGAAACCGCGCGTCTTTTCGCCGTATCAACGGCGAAATACCTGTAAATACTGTAAATATAAAAACAGCCAGTCGGCATTGTAAATATAAACTTAGACATACCAAAAGACACGATATTTTTGTGGCGGCTTGGTGGTGGGGGAGCGTTGTCCACGATATGAAGAATTTTGATGACGGAAAAAAGATGTTGGCCGCAGTGGGATTCGAACCTAGGTCCTCAGGTGTATGAGTCTCGAGCGCTACCACTGCGCCATGCGGGCCACGGTTCTTTTTCGTGTATGTTTCTGCTAGGTATTAGTTGTGTGAGCGGGGGACCGCCACATTTTATTTCTCGTACCGAATCCTGACAAAACCGATCGACGCTATCCTGCAAAACCGAGCGACGCGGAGATAGAGACGTTTTATGGCGCTCGAACAGGGACCGTGACAGAGAAATAAAATATCGAAGAAAAATGCCGACGACTGACTGGGTGCACCGTCTTCGAAAAGAAGAACTAGAAATCGAACTTACGCGCCGTCACGCCGAAACCGAAGGGACAGTAGAAGTTTTGCGTCAGCGATTACGAGAGCTAGTAAAAGCGGAAAACGCGGCCAGCGCGGCGAAATCTTCCGACATACCAGCCGCCGCGTCCGTAGTCAAAATGACCGAGAACGACTCCGGGCAAGCCATCGCGAAAACCATTAATCAAATTAGAAAATGAGGCTGCCACTTCGATGGCAAGGATCCGTGGGCTTTTTTAGAGCGGGTCGAGGAATTAAGTCTCGCGTACGGATACAACGGTCAGCATCTTATACTTGATTTACCAGAACTACTGAGAGGGGAAGCACTCTCGTGGTATCGAAATCGACGACACAAGTGGAGTACGTGGGAACAATTTTGCGATACCTTTCGAACACAATATTGTCCACGCCGTTACCGCAATCAATTATTGAAAGATATCGCCGGTCGCGCACAAAAACCTGACGAAAAATTTCATAAGTACGCCAGCGAAGTAGAAACCATGATGCGTCGCGCCGGGGGGTTTACAACGGCCGCACAGGCGGAACAAATTTACGAAAATATGCATCCCGAGTACAAAATGTATATCCGCCGACAAGACGCTACCAATCTCGAGACACTCCAAGACTTAGCGGCGGATTTTGAAGATATCTTACGGCAACGAAAAACAACGACGACAACCGCAAAACATGACGCCCCTGCACTCACGAAACCAATCACCGCCGCCGTATATAACCGAGCCGAACACTGCTGGCGGTGCAAGCAACGCGGACATACGCGCTTTAATTATCAGCGCCCGCCGCGCAAATTCTGCTCACAATGCGGACGGGACGGAGTTTTCACTCGGGAATGTCATCCTCCGGCAGGAAAAGCCGCCGGGGCCGGGACACACGCGAACGAACCCCGGCCCCGCAAGTAACGTTCACGCCACGACCGCACCTCCAACTCAAGATCTGCAATCAATCAGTAATCGCGTTGATAGATACCGGATCCGAAATTTCGTTCATTTGAGCATCGCTTTCACATCCTGCCAGAATTAGAAAGCGAAATGCTCATCGGAGTAGATCTGTGGGGAAAATCAAATATAAGGCTTACGCCACCGCGATTCGGTAAGGGGAAAGACCTCACGCCGGCCCGCGTCTCCGCCGCTAGACAATGCGGCGAAACCGAAAGCATCAAGCTCCATCACTTTTTGGAAAATGAGATGCGAAAATTCACGGAGGTTCGGGGACCGACCGAACTTCTACGGCACCATATCCGCCTAAAAAGGCACGCTTCCAATAAAACAAAGATACCGGCCGCGTAACCCGGCGATGCAGCGCGTGATCGACGACGAAATAGACAGCATGCTGCGCGAAGGAGTAATAGAACCATCTGAAAGCGCATGGAGTTCGCCGGTAGTAATCGTCCGAAAACGTGACGGCCGACCGCGGTTTTGCATAAATTTCCGACGCTTAAATGAAGTCACCGAGCGAGACGCGTACCCGCTTCCACAGATCACGGCCACTCTGGATAAGTTACGCGGGGCACAATTTTTATCAACCTTAGATTTACGGAATAGCTACTGGCAGGTACCACTGACTCTCGCAAGCCGACCGCTGACGGCATTTACCGTACCGGGCCGGGGATTAATGCAATTTAAAGTAATGCCATTCGGATTACATGCAGCACCAGCCTCATTCCAGCGACTACTGGATCACGTGATCGGTCCAGAACTAGAACCTTTCGCATTCGCGTACCTAGATGATATTATTGTGGCGAGTCGTACGTTTTCCGAACATCTCGAACATTTCGCCGAGGTTTTCCAACGACTACGCGCCGCTCGTCTGCGAATTAATCCGGAGAAATGCCGATTCTGCGTAAACGAGTTGAAATATCTCGGCCACGTCGTGGGCCGACAGGGCATCCGGACGGATCCCGATAAAACAAAGGCCATACTAGATTGGCCATCCCCGACGACCGTCAAGCAGGTCCGGCAGTTCGTGGGAATCGCCTCATGGTATCGTCGATTTATACAGGATTTCGCGACGGTTGCCGCCCCGCTCACTACACTGACAAAGAAGAACGCTCGTTGGACCTGGGGAGAACTCCAAAGGCAAGCCTTCGAAACGTTGAAAAACCGTTTAACTACCGCACCAGTATTAGCCTGCCCAGATTTTTCCCGACAATTCTTTCTGCAAACCGATGCCAGCACGACCGGAGTGGGCACAGTACTCACGCAATTTTTTCCGGAAGGAGAGCGTGTAATTGCCTACGCCAGTCGCACGTTAAATGCCGCGGAGCAAAATTATAGCGCCACGGAATTGGAGTGTCTCGCGGTCGTGTGGGGGATTAAGAAAATGAGGGGATATCTCGAAGGATATCAATTCACGGTGATAACGGATCATCAATCGCTAAAGTGGCTACAAGGCCTAGAATCACCGACAAGAAGACTAGGACGTTGGATGTTCGAATTACAGCAATACCAATTCGATATCCGCTACCGAAAGGGAACCCTCAACCGCGTGGCGGACGCCCTTTCGCGACAAACAACCGTCGCCGCGATACAACCGACGCGGTGCTCATGGTACGACCAGATATGGGGAAAAATCAGAGCCAAACCCCACGAACTACCAGACTATTGCATTCAGCAAAAACGACTGTTCCATCACGTACTCCACGATTTAAATTTCCACGAAACCCCGCCTCAGGAACAATGGAACAATGCGTCCCCTCCCAGGAACGCACCGAGGTAATGAGGCGCGTGCACG